TAAGGCTATGAGTGTGTTTAAATCACAAGATTTGCGTTTCAGTAAATCACACAAGTTTTAACAAAATATGGCACGAGAGAGAGAAAAATGAATATTACGGAAAGTACACACTATATAAAGAGAAACAACGGGCAAACAAACATCATTAGATGAGTCATCCATTTCCAGAAAAAGCTAGAAAGACAAATATACGATGACAAAACAAACAAGCAGGCATGGATAGAATCCGGTGAATCATGGGACTACAGCACACATCGGCCTAGTTTAGGCTTAGGGCTTGGTCTTGGGGCAAGTGAGGCCTTACTGACACACCAAGGTTGTCCAAGATAGGCCAGCAAAGTGGCACAAAGAACCGTCACCAACCGACCGCCGCAGTCGTCACCGCACCTACTCCCGCGTCGACGCCGTTGTTTACGAAGGCATCCGTACGAGAGCGCCGAGAAGCAGAGTAACGAGGGCAGACACGCAGAGTAGTCATGTGAGGCGGCCGTGGCGGCCACCCAAGACCGTCGAGGGGCGATTCGAATAGAAGTTGCGAATACTTTATAAAGGCCTGAAACCGATCTGAAATGGGATTGGAATGGCTAGTATGGGAGATCTGAGCAAGATGCTTAGGTCCCTTTTCCTTTTTAAATGAAATGGGTGAAGAAAAAGGTCCTTTCTAGGTCGTGCTTCTGTCAAATGCTGGCCACTATTTGGGTAAGATGCTGGCAGCAGGAAGGAATGCAACATGTGTGGTGGAGGTTTTGACGGCTCTGGCGAGAAGACGAGTGCGAGACACCGGCAGACAACTGGCTGGCAGGTAAGAGAAGTGAAGAGATGGGAGAAATTGTGTGAATGTGGTGGAAACGATAAGCATTAATTGATTACCGTCCGTCACCAACCAGGGTGAAAATCGTGTCGAGTACGTGGTCGCAGAGGTACGACCCCCCCCCCCCGAAATCGAGATCCTGGCACGACCCCCTCTAACAGAGCAAATTAATTCAATTAAAATAAATCCTGCAAAACAAATCAAAAAAAAATTCTGCAAAATAAATTCATCTTGTCATCTATGCACGTCTTCCATCGCTGCATACTTTTGTGTACATACTGAAATATCGACTCGAGGAAAGAGGCATTAACTTTGTGTGACCTCAAGGCGAGGTTCGTTCAGAAACGCACAGAAATCCTGAAGACACGGGGTTGCGATTCAATCTTGATTCTTGCTTGAGTATATCAAAACAGCCGAGTGTATCAAAGGCCGATTCAACGGCAGCTGCGGCGCGATTGTCACTGGGTCAGATTTGCCGAAATTTCAAAAAAAAACGTCCGAATCTACACCCTCGATGAAAAGGTTGCATTCCTCCATTTCACAACCTTTGAAGCAGCTTGAGGTAGAGTTAGATAGAGCTGGATTTCGCGTTTCCAACAAGCATCGAAATTGCTCTGGAAGCCTTCCTTGCAGAAAGATAGGGTCTCTCAAATTTCGTCGAGTAAATGTCGAGGAGGCCGAAATTTTCACGCGAGTTTTTGCCACTTCAAGAGCAATATATCTCTTATCCTACTTACTATAAAGCGCTTCGTCTGTCGTTCTGTCCCTCTGTCCCTCTGTCTGTCGTTCTGTCCCTCTGTCGTTCTGTATGTCTGTCACGAAATTCCCTAGCTCCTCGGGATCCGCCTGGAGGGACCGGGTCAAGTGTGGGATGGGTGGGCAGGGTCTCACGTAATACAAAACACACATCAGCTAAGCGGAGCCCCGCCCACAGAGGGCGTGGCGTGCGTCGAAATGAATTGTACCAAAGACCAAGATTTCGATTTCAGTGAAAAAACGACCTCGAAACTGGGCCAAAAAGTGGGCTAAGGTGTGCATTGGTAAGTAACATCGAATTAGGGAGACCCACCCCCGGGGTGGGCGGGGCGTTCTCTAAAAAAGCAGTGCTTTATGAAAAATTTCATAACTCGGTTGGGAGAAAGCCTACAGAGCAGAAAACAATTCGGTGTAAGGGAGCAATGTCTAAGGTGTTTCCCGCATACATGACGTGGGCGGAGGTCCGCCTAGAAAACATGGCCGGGCGGCGCTCCTGAGTGGTAGAGGCCATTTCTATTCAGAGTCCCTGTGTCATAGATTGGTGATCGTGTGAGAGCTCCTGTAAGAGAGGCCGGAAAAAGGTGGATAGAGGTGGGTGGAGGAGTGGAGGTTAATTGTCATTGGTGGGCGGGGCCTGACCAAAGTGGGCGGAGTTTGCGACGAAAATTTATAACTCGGCTCCATGAAGCTCCGGAGGCTGGGGAAAAGGTGGATAGAGGTGGGTGGAGGAGTGGAGGCCAGCTGTCAATGGTGGGCGGGGCTTGACCAAAGTGGGCGGAGTTTGCGACGAAAATTCATAACTCGGCTCCAAGAAGTCCCGGAGGCCGGGAAAAGGTGGATGGAGGTGGGTGGAGGAGTGGAGGCCAGCTGTCAATGGTGGGCGGGGCTTG